GGCAGAGGAGGGAAGGAGCTTAGAACATAGAATGTCAGAGCTGGGAGAAGATTCTAGGACAAAGAATGTCAGAGCTAGAAGGCACCTTAGAGACAGGATCTTAAGTAAAGTCCATGAACTTCTTTTTTTAATTTTGGTTGCTGTGTTTTCCTAGAACTTTCTTCCTTTGGATGCCTCTCTATTTCATGCATTTAAAAACATTCTTCTTTGAAAGGGTCTTTATTAGGTTTCACTAAACCGCCAAAGGGACCATTACACACAAAAAGGTGAAGAGCCCCTGGTCTCGTCCAGCTCCCTCACTGTGCAGAGGAAGAAACTGAGGCACATGACGGGAAAGTGACTTCATCAGCCGGTGAGCTCCTGGCAGACATAGGAGAGGAGCCCGCACCTCCTGCCTCTTCCCACCGCTTGAGGCTGCCTTCCCTGACCTGCCTGCGTCATAAGGGGGTTTTGAGGATCAAATCACACGCTGGCTGTGAAAGTGCTCTGGAAAGTCTCTGAATGTTACCCAGATGTGAGGGCCCTTCAGTAAAGCCTTTGTACCCAGCCCTAAGCTAAAAAGCTGCGGAGGAGACAAAGGAAGGGGGAGATTCAGAAGCAGCACAGTCCAAGCCTCTGCACTGGGAATAAGGGGTTCTAGGTCTCAAGCCCAACTCTCCAATGGCCAGCTGTGTGACCTTTCACTCCTGGGCCTCAGTTTCCCATCAGTGATATGAAGGATTTGGACAAGCTGTTGTCCAAGGGCTCTTGGAAGCCTAGCATTCACACTTGGCATGAGTGTGCGCGCGCACACACACACACACCTACACAAGCACTCACTTTCTCTTTTACACAGCTTCTTCCTGTGTCTTTCCCACATGCAGCCACCCACAGACCACTGTCCGTCTCACACACTGCCTCATTATCTAGTCCACATCTCTGTTTCCCTTTGTCTCTCAATTACTGTCCATCTCTTGGTATCTCTCAGCCTTTCTCCATCTCTCTGTTACTTCCCCTTCTCTCTTGGTAGAACAGGAAATAGACTAGGAACACAGGGGCACAGAATCTGAGCCCTCAAAGGGGCTTCAGAGGCCCCAAGTCCAATACTCCCGACCATTGGGCATCCAGCCTCTACTTGGAGACTTCCAGGATGGCAGCCAGCCTTCAGAGGAGGGAGCCACAGGCTAGGCTCCATACCTGGTCTGGCCGCCGACTTGTTCTTGCCGTAGGGCAGAAGCAAGAGGTGGAAGGTGTGGTAATAACTTCAGCTCCATGTCAGGAAAACCTTCCTAGCAACAAGAGCTGTCTCAAAGTGGGCTGGGCTTGGTAAGGTAGTGAGCTCCTCATCACTGGAGGTCTCCAAATAGAGGCTGGAGAATCCTCATAGTGTTAGTCAGTCGGGTCTGGGTTGGACTAGGTAGCCATCGAGGTCTCTGTCAACCTGTGATTTTATGACTTTGGGCAAATCCCTTCGGTCTTGCTCTCAGTTTCTTCATATGTAAAATGACCTAAATTTGACCTAAATTTCTAAAGTCTATCCCAGCTCTGAGGGTCAAGGATTCTGTCTCTGCTGCTTTCTGGCTGCCTCTGTCTTTGTCTCTGTCTCTTTCCCTCTCCCTCTCTCCCTCTCTCCCTTCTTGTTGGATTCAGCTCCAAAATCAGCACCATCAGGAAGCCTCCCCTTATACAAGCCTCCCCTGAGGCCCACAGGGCAGTCCCTCTAACATCCTCTCCAGCGCCAGGTTGAGCCTTTTCCTACCACATTCCGGTCTCACATCCTAAGGCATGTACATGAGAATTGGGGGCGGCGGGGGGGGGGGGGGGGGCGGCAGCAATGTGGTCTGGTCTAGACCCAGGCTGTTGTTTCTGTTTTCCCTGAAGTTCCCCCCCCAATGGGGTATCTAGGTCACCACCCTCAGTGGGGCCTTGCTGGCAGACAGACCAACTTCCTGGCCTGGCCAACTGGTTTTAGAGGGAGCCCCAGGTCAGGGTTGAAGGCAGGGGATATGGATGGGGTCACTCACATAATAGGTGAAGAGTTCCGGGGCGCTGTTATTGAGCTGATTCAGCTGGTTCCGGATCTGGAACGTGAGGTTGCCTTGGCACTGGTGGCGCATTTCGCATTTGGGATCATCGGGGGTGATGGGTAGGGGGCTCCCGGCCCCATGTTTCCAGTGCAGAACCAGCAGCAGGGGCATGACTCCTGGAAACAGGTGGGGAGGGGTCTATGAGCCGGAGGGCTTGGAAGGACCTGTAGCTTAATCTTCAGGTCAGCTTGGACGGGGAAGGGAGGGCTACGTCAGGGATGGAGGCTCATCGGTAATAACCGTCCCAGGAACGACCATCACTCACGTTTCTATAGGGAGGCGAAGGTTAGGAAATGCCTTCCCCATGACAGCCCTATTAGGTCAGTAGGGCAAGAACTCTCACTCTCATTTTCAGATGCGAAAACCGAGGCTCAGACCAGGAAGCTGCTTGCCCGAACTCATAGAGCCGGGATAGGACTGGGGTGTGCCCCGGCTCTCTCCACCTCTTCGCTGCTCCCTCCAGCTGTTTCCCTGTCTCGGTCTCTATCCCACTCCACCATTCTCTCTCTCTCCAGCTCTCTTTCCTTCTCTGATACTGCATACTTCTGGCCCTCCCCTCTCTATCCCTGGGATCCCAGGTTAAGAAAAGAAGGGGGCTTAGAAGCCATCAAGTTCTAGGATCCCAGACTTAGGAGAGAAGGAACCTCAGAGATCATCTCGTCCATGCACCCTCATTTTACAGATGAGTAATCTGAGGTCAGAGAATTAGGTGATTGCTCAAAGTCACATATTGTCAGAGGGAGGATTTGAACCCAGGACCTCTGACTCCAAACCCAGTACTCAGGGGACTGTGCCACACTGTTCTGTCCCTCTCCATCTCTGGATCATCTCAGACACTGACTAGCTGTGTTATCTCTCTCAGCATCTGTAAAATGGGCATAACATGCCTTACAGAGTTATGGTGAGGGTCAAATAAGATATGTACCTAAGTATCTTGCAAACCTCAAGACCATACAGACATATCCACTTGTATTATCATTGTTTTTGATTTTGACCTAGGAACAGGGAAACTGAGGAGGGAAGGCAGAGACAAGAAGGGGAGTGGCACCTGTCAGAGGCTGGCCCTAGGAAGAAGGCAGAGGGCTGCCTGACTCTACCAAATCCCAACAACCTCTGGCCAGAAAAGTCCCCAGATTTGCTGCCTCCAGCCAGTGCCAGCCCTTGAGCCCCTCAATGTCTCCTGAAGTCATCTACCCATCAAACGTTTGCTCGAGAACCTCTCTCCATCTCTCTAACCCCACCCTGCTTCCACATGGGCAGACAGTCATGTGGTAGATAGAGCTGGGAGTCAAGAAGAGTTGAGTTCAAATCCTGTGTCAGACAACTCCTAGCCGTGCGACCTTAGACAGATGGTTTAACCTCAGTTTCCTCATCTGTAGAAATGGGATAAGAGCCCTTGCTTCCTAGGGTTGGTGTGAAGATACAATGAAATCATATTTGTAAAATGTTCACAAACCTTAAGGGGCAGTACAAATGCTGGCTATTATCATCATCATCATTATAATTATTATAGCTACTATGCAACTCAAACCTACTTCTCTAACTCTGTCCCCAGCCAAGTCAGCTTGGGGTGGAGAAAAGGGCTCTGGGTTTGAAGTTACATGAGCTGACTTGGAATCCCAGCTCTGTCACTTACAACCTGTGGTTGATCTCAGACAAGTCATTTAGTTTTTCTATGCCTTCGTCAGTAAAACGGGGGGATTAAACTCAGTGGCTCTCCAATTCTATATCTATGATTCATGTTCCCCTAAACATCCCCCTCACTTTGCTGCCTCCATCTTTATGCTCTGATTCTGCCTCCGTCCTCTCTCTTAATCAATCATACAGCAGTGATTAAGTGCCTACTTTGTGACAGGCATTCAGGATAATCCCAATTCTCAGAGCTTATACTCTCTCTTGCCCATTTCCCCACAGCTCTGCCCACAATCCCACACCCCTGTCCTGTCTCTTTCAGCTTCATCTCTTTACCCTATCTCTCCAAAGAGCTCCCCAAGTCTAGCATGATCTTCTCCCCATGATCTATAGTTAGAGGCTTTAGAGCTAGTTTAGACCCTAACCCCCTCCTTTTACAGAGGAGGGGACTAAGACTCCCAAGAAGTAAGAAGACTTACCCAGGGTCACACAGCTAGAAAGTTTACAAAGCAAGTTTCCCCTGATTCAAAATCCAGGGCTCTTTCCTCTGTACCACATTTCCTCCCCCCCTCTCCCCTTGGGGATGGAGGGCTGGAGTTGAACAAGGAGGTTTTCATCCTCTGAGTCAAGGCTGGGAGGGTCCGAGGGGGTCCCACTTGCTGGGGGGGGAGGGGAGGGCATCAGGGAGGAGGTAGAGGAAATGTTGCAATAATGAAAGGGAAAGGTTGCAGGAAGTAGATCGGTGGGGGAGGCAGAAGAGAGAAAGGTAACTATGAGGGCTGTTGGGACCTGTCCACGGAAGCTCTGGGGCTGTGGCTGTCCAGCAGCTAGAGGGCTGGACCACATGGCTCCCCGCCCCCACAAAGCCCTGGGCCTGAGGGATTGCTGCTCAGCTCTGCTCCATCCTCCCTGGATGGCCACCCCCAGCCCCTCTGAGTCACCCAGAGCTGCCCCCACTGTTTCCTGGACCCCCTCCCCCCAGGCCTTCCAGATTAGCTAAGTTTCATTCAGCCCGGAGAGTGAGACAAGTGCAAAGGGAGGGAGGTGAGTCCGAAGTCATCCCAAACTTGGGTATTATTAAACCCTCAGATAGGGACAAAGTAGTAACCAGCCCACCTGCCTGCCAGTGGAATAAGAGTTTCTTAGTGAAAATCTGACCTTCTGTTGCCCCTCTTCACACAACCTAGGAGTTAGGAGGGCATCTCAGGAATGTCAGAGCGGCAAAGGACCTCCGAGACAGTGACTAGAGAGAAACTGAGGCCCAGAAAGGTAAAAAAGATGGCAGAGAGGCAGCCAGGTGGCGCAGTGGCTACAGCACCGTCCCTGAAGTCAGGAAGACCTAAGTTCAAATCTGGCCTCAGACCAAACATTTACTAGCTGTGTGACCCTGGGAAAGTCACTTAACCCCAACTGCCAAAAAAAAGATGAAGGCAGCGCTGGAATGTCACCCCAAGTCCTCAGATTTTTCATCACAGAGCCAGCCTGGGATTCCCACCCCTCATCATTCCCATCCCTGCCTCCCTGCAATGCATTTGGGGAGATGGGGCAGGAAGAGAGTCCAGGATTATGATATGGGTGTTTCAGTTATTTCTGGTCTCAGCATGGCACAGTGGACAGAGGACTAGCTTCTAAGCTAGGTAGACCTGGGTTCAAGTCCTGACTCTGACACATACTGGTTGTGTGACCCTGACAAAGTCATTTCCCCCTTCACTACTCTGGGCTCAGCACTCTAAACTGCAGAGAAACTCTAGTCTACGTTGGTATGTTTTCTCACCAGGGAGCTACCTGCACCAATGGAATCACATGAGCAGTCTCCATCCTGACCATCCTTATCTTCTCTCCCCACCCCCACCTGCTTAGACCTTCCTCCTAGCCCCAGGCAGAGTGGAGGAGGCTTGTAAAGTACTCCCCCCCCCACCTCAAACACACACACCTATTCCCCAAGCACTGAGCACAAACCATTGGCTCTCTGCCCTCTGCCAACCAACTCACCCCTGTCAGCGTCTTGCAAACACTTTCAGTCGGGGAGAAGGAAGCGGGAATCAGAAAAACTTTGGACTCCAGAGTCCTTAGAGGGGCACAGCTCCCCAGCCGGAGGGAAAGCAAAGTGGAGTTAGAGAAAGCTGAGGGGACGCGACAGAGACAAACAGCGAATGGATGGATGGATGAATGGGTGAATGAATGAATGAATGAATGAATGAATGAAATGAGAGAAAGTGATTGAAGGGAGAAGAAAATAAATGACCGATATGGAAGGGAAAAAAGTGAGAAGAAATAGGAAGTGGGAAAGAAAGATGAAGAAAAAGAAAAGGAAGAAAAGGAAGAAAGTGAAACAAAGGAGAGATAGAGATAGGAGTGACAGAGAGATATGAGAGAGAGAGAGAGAGAGAGAGAGAGAGAGAGAGAGAGAGAGAGAGAGAGGCGGGCGCACGAAGAGCCGGATGAGTGGGAGACGTAGAGTGAGGGAGCGCTGGAGAAGGAAGGAAGAGGGAAGGCAGGAAAGGAGCCGGAGCGCTGGTCGGAACTCTCCCAATGCTGGCAAACCTGCGTTCAGTGGCCACTCAGTCCTGGAAAGCCCAGGAGCGCCGCTCTCTGCCGCCTCCTCCTCCTCGTCCTCGGGTTGCTGGAGTGGCGGGCGCCAGGGAGCCATGTGCAGGGCCAGGGGAGCTCCCTGCAGCCGCCCGCTCGCCCCGCTCTCCTCCTCCCCGCCAGCAGCGCCCAGCCCCGCAGGTTGGCTCCGCGAGCTTCTCCTGGCCGGCAGATTGGGCGGGCGAGCTGCCTGTCTGTCTGTCTGCAGGGGTGGGTGGGTTCTCTCTCTCTCTCTCTCTCTCTCTCTCTCTCTCTCTCTCTCT